AGATGCTTGTACGGAATGTCAGTAGAAAATCAAGTTAATTAAGCTGGAATTGCCAAGGGTTTCTTGTGCTTTTTCTCTTTTCCATTTGGTAGTATAATAGTCGATAGTATCGATCACAAGTGTAGTATACATAGTAGTGTAGTACATAGTTGCGGTTTATAATGCAAACTGCTGAAAATATAATTATCCCTATGAACTAGATATTACTATATATTATTATAAGCCATAAGCTGGTGGAGTTATCGATAACAAACTGAGGTTTCAATCCGCTTAATCATTTTGTTTTGGATGCTTTGGATCTACAAGATAACAATGTTCTTGTAATTTATCATGCTCTATTAGCTTCAATAGCTCCGCTGTGATAGCTATCGATAGCTATCGATTACTTTTTCAATTTTTCGATACATTTATTTGAGAAATCTAAGCAGCATTTCGATAACATTTTTCGATAACTCAAGCTGTGACTTGCAACTTTATACTTTCAATAATGAAATCAAAGCACAAAGTACCACAATAAGTTTTTGCAAATAATCGTTAACTTCCGATTCGATATATTGGCTAAAGTATCAGTGTTCGATAACGATAACTAACAAAATAGATCCTTTTAACGATAGCTTAACCTGAAATAACGTTTCGATAACTTGCGCTAAAGCACCAAATACAACCAACTTTACGAGGTTTAAGGTGACTTATGTCAAACCTTAACGCTTGATAAATGCAATGCTCGACTCGCTTTTAACTGACAGTCAACTTGTTATCGCCGACTGCCTCATTACTAGGCAGAGGGCGGTACAGTTGCCCTGGGGGCAGATACGTTGCCTGCATCATAAGTCAAACAAAGTTGTATGCACATGCCACACACACACATATGCACACACACTCGACCACATTTACCACATTCTTTGCCACAGTCACAGGCAGCAGATGTCGCGCCTCATTGGACTCCAAGTGGGGGGCGAAATCGAATGGGAATGGGCCAGGTACTGTGTACAAATTTTGCTTTTGCAATGCTCGCGGCGAGAAAACGACCAAAATGTATGCTGTTCCGGCTGAATTGCAGATTTGGCCAGTTGAGTGTCAGCCACTGTGCATATGTGTGCCGTTTCTAACTGGCAGCATTGGTTGCATGCTCCATATGGTTGCATGCACACCTTTAAAATGTTAACCAGCCCAGGTAATTATCACAGCTTTAATTGGAAAGCGAATTGCTTTAAACGGGTTCAGCTTACGTTTACTCGCCTGTCGTTCGGCCTAACAATAAACGAAAATGATGGCGCCGCACATAAATTATAACTATAGAGACATCGATTGTATGCCACAAAAAATAGATAAACAAGTAAGAGGTTCTTGTCGGGAGGTCCCGACTAGGGGATACCCTGAACCCTCTTCTTCCAACACCAAATGCAAATATATATACTATTCTAGAAGCTACATTTCAAGTTTGCTGACTATAGCTCTTACCAAAAAATTTACCAAAACTGCTCAAAAAACAGGATGTATATATCGATTTTTATTGATTGCTTGGAAAGTTATCGATTATCGGAAACAAGCCCGATCTGCGCATGGACTAGGAGGACCTACATCTTAAATTTCAAGTCTCCAGCTCTTATAGGTCTGATATCCTTGCGTTCATACATACGGACAGACGGACGGACGGACAGATAGACGGACATGGCTAGATCGACTCGCCTATTGATGCTGATCAAGAATATATATACTTTAGGTCGGAGATGCTTCCGTCTGCCTGTTATATACATTTACATTTTGCACAAATACAATATACCCTTTTTACCCATTTTTAATGGGTTCAGGGTATAAAAATGGATGAAAAGAGCAGACAAGCCGCATAAGCTAGACGTGAGGATAATCCGTACGCGGCTGAAGTTGATCTCTGCTTTTAAATTACTTACGGGCTTGTTTTAAAGTATGTTTTTAATATTTTCAGAGTATTTCGATAATATTCTTAGGTATGCGCTTACAAAAATTAAAGAATATATCTCTTAGATTGTGTCTGTACTGGATTAATGTATGTAATTAATTTGTATATATGAGCAAATCCTTCTCAAATTATTCGAACTGTTCAGAGAGCAGCATGTTAACACGACTCGTAAAATCTCTTTTATTTTTTCAAAAGAATCGTTTTGAGTTTTTCGATAGTATTCCTAAGTATACGTATACCAAATTTTAAGACTATATCTCTCAGATTGTTTCTGTAATGAATTTATATAATTACTAGCGGGTACAGCCCGACCTTGCCAGTGGCACTTATGTTACAAAACCAATGTTCTCAAAAAGATTTGAAAGTGATTTTGAAACTGATCAGATGGTAAACAAACAATTTTCATACAAACGTTTTCCGCCAATTCGCCAAATCGCTAAAATACGTATTCATTAAGTTCTTATGTAGAGCTCTGAAACAAAGTATGAGGTAAATCGCACAAGACTTAAAACTGCACCAAAAAAGTCTTAGAATCGCATTTCTACCGAGGATGCTTTGATTCTACGAAAAATGTGAAACACGTCTCAAATGATTTTTCATAAAGATCCTTGAAAATTAAATTGAGCGCGAAACGTCATCCACCAAATCTTTGACCGCCAATTCCACCAAGGAGGAATACATTTTTAGAAAAGTGTGAAACACCGATCGGATACCCGCATACTTGCGGGTGGAATTTCTCGAAATCTTAATGTGCACCTTCATCACATAAGGTAACTACAGTGAAAAATCCAGCTTCCTAGCTCTTACGGTTTAGGCTGTGCGTTGATCACCAATCAGTCAGTCAGTTATAAATAGTGATTGTTTTTTTTTTTTTTGCTTTCGCTTAAGTTTCGTATTGCTTATGCAGATAATTAAGGTGAGGTAAGCCCAAAAATTGATTCTGTATTTTATGCCTGTTAAAAATATTTATGTAAAGTTACATAGGCACAAAAAAAAAATATAAAAAAGTTTTGATCCAATTTTAAATAAATCTGCTGTGAGAAACAAGATAAACTAAATGATATACCTCCAGTCTCGCACTGTCGGTTACATCCTTTATCATACTTTCATTATACAGTCCGTTAGGAAATTTTAATGCCTACAGGGTATTAAAAAAATTCGCATTTATATGGCATTTGGGCACGAAAATCGCTGCGTTTGACTTTGTCGAGAGGTTCGCTGATAATTTTCGCACATAAATTAACCAAAGTTTTGCCACGCACACACAGACACACACATGCACACACAGACACACACGTGCACACATTAGCTAAGCTTAACTATTGGCTTCCGATTGTTTTAGTCGTCTGTGCCACATGGGAAAAATTAAAAATACTGCTAAATGCTTTTCGGCCAGTCCAAAAATGGTTTGTGTGCCTGTGTGTGTGTGTGTGTGTGTGTGTGTGTGTGTGTTTGTGTGTTATGGCCGGTTGTGAGTGCAGGCTCAATTTCGGTTATGCTATGCAATCTGTTAATTTTTGCCAACTTTGCTGTGGCTTCGTCCCGCTTCGCACCCACACTCCTTGCTGGTCATTTGGACGTTCGTCTTCATTGCGCATTGATGCGCCCTCATGTGAAATAATTGCCGCTGCTGTCCAATAGCGTTTAATAATACATGTGGCTATGTGTGTGCGTGAGAGTGTGTGTTTTGAGTTGAGGCCAGAAGTCATGCTGGTGTTGCTGTCAAGGCTATTAAGTTGTGAACTAAATGGCCAGACGGCTTAACTGGCTGGCTGATTTTGCCCTGTATCATGGCTAAAGCGACAACGCTTTAATATCCCTTGGGTACTTTCTACTCTAATGGGAATTTGGGCCACTCGGCTAAACAGCTTATATACATTTATTAAAATGCGTTCGCCTGATAATGCCACTTAAATATTATATGTTTGGCAATGTTTGGCTATATTAGCAATAATAAGTTGTTGCCAGATAGAACTTGTTACGTTTCTTTATCTTTCTTTTAAGTTAAACATTTCGGCTCCTTCTCCAGTTTTAAGCAAATATTTCAACTATCAAAATCGATGCGTTTTAAGTTATTCCATAACTCTTCTCCAGAAACCACAGTTCGTGTTGTAATTTTAATGATTTTAACCAGCTTTTTAAATTATTGCGATGCGATCTAAGTTGTTTGTTGCTTCTTTTGTAAATCCTTTTGATTATATTTATATATTCTCAGCGTAAACTTAAAAAAACCTCCTGACGACAGCACGGGATCAATTAAGCAACCCTTTAGGGTTTTAAGAAAACTTCTAAGTCAGTTTCCCAATTTATCTTTAGTAAGATTGAAACCTAAAAAAAAGGAATAATTTAATTGCATAAAACTAAGCTAGCACATTAAAATTATTTGAAAATTCACTTTATTTTTCAATAAACTTTATTTTACAATATTTTCATTAATTTACTGTATTTATATTAATTTGAATTAGTTCTTGACATGTACCATTTTATTCACTTGTTAGCTATTTAGTTAAAAAAGCCATTACACATATCTAAAATAATTTTTGAAATATTTATCAATTACCCAAATTTGCTGCATTTTGTTTTTTATAGGAACCAAAAAAAGCTTTCATATTGAAATGTTTAATTTTGTTGTAATAAATAAAATTATGCATTTTAAAATACACACATGCTAAATACTACATAAATGAGAAGCGCTTTTTTGTTTGTTTTTAAGATCTAAATAATTACAAATTATTTGCGAAACTATATTTTAATAGGTTTAAACTGATCACAGCAAATTGTTCTGAATACCCAAAGAGAACGAGCGAAATATATTAATAACAACAAAAGTGTTAGACATTTTATTTCTTTCAATAATTTTGTTTTTGTGGACTTATTGTAAATATTTCGAACTTTTCGCATTCAATATATGTATTTTTTTTTATTTTTCCAAAAATGTATTTACATCAAAATTTGTTTTAAATATTTTGCTAAATTTGAACCAAGTCTTGTGCTAAATCAATTTTATTTATTAATGTTGTAAGTTTTCAATTAATTTGTTTAACACAAAAAAATATTTAACTACATTTTTTAGTATTCATTATTTAATTTTTATTAAATTTTTATATTTCACTTCATGAACTTAATACGAAATGCTGAGTTTCGGGCTGTGTGTCTCGCTCCAGTGTGTGTGTGTGTGTCTTATGAGGGCGTGTATGTGTTTGTGTGTGTGTATAGCTATGAATGACGCTGTTAGTTGATCTCAAAATGTTGTGCCTAGAAATAGTTTAGGCATTAGTTATGGGCGTGTGTCTATGTGGGCGTGTTGAATGTGGCTTTATGCTAAATTCTAAAATTAAATTTTAAACTAGGCAACAAATTGAATTTGTTGAGTATTTTCTTTTTTCCCCATGATAATATTTAGTTTTGCTGTGGTGGGCCCTACGTGTAGTTATTGTAATTGAAATTTCTAGAGCTGTTGTGGCTTGTTTGTTTGTTATTGTTGTTGTTGTTGTCTTTTTGGCATACTGCTTACTACTTTCTAAACAAAAGTTTTGCTCTTTGAGTTAGGTGCCTTAAACTTAAAGGACTTAATAATAGGAGTTATTTGTTTTTGTTGTTGTTGCTGCTGTTGTTATTATTGCTAAGAGCCAGCTGATGTTGATAGACGCTGTCTGTTTGGATATGTCTCATAATATATAAATGGCTTACTTATGCTGTCTTTTAGACACATTCTGTGCCTCGAACTTGCAGCGGTGCCTGTGAAAAAGAAGAAAACGGCCCAAAGAAAAATGTTAAAAACAATTTACAAGTGTTTTAAAAATGCGAAAAGTCGCTTAAAGTAATTTAATTTAACTATAAACTATAACATAATGTAGAATAAAATGAAAACTTCAAAATAAGAAAAATATACTTTTACATTTTGTAAGTTACAAAAAAAGATAAAGAAAAGTATGTTTTTACAACTTTTCAGTTATATACAATAATAATTTTAAACATATAATCGTAGAAAAAAAGATATTATCGAGACGATACGAGAATAACTTTTGGTTAAATTATTTACAAGAAATTAAATAAAATTTGTATATAGAAAAAATTAAGAAAAAATTACTTAAAATAAATATGCAAATATAATTAATATATAGCTATAAGTAACAAACAGCATTAAATATATAAATAATATATAAATTAAAATGTAAATAGCTTATAAATATAAATAATAATATAAAAATTTCTGTTGAGGCTCTTAAATAAAACTTTCTTCAAACATTTATATAAAATTATTATCAATATAATTAAAGAAATATATAAATTTAAATTTGATAAATAATTGTAAGCAAAACAAAAATCAGAACATTATAAAAAAATGCAATTGTAAATACTATAATGTAATTTATAATTGCAAAACGTATTAAGTTTATTATTAGCGCGCAATGCAACTTAAATAATTATAAAACATTTTACACATTGAAAAAACAAATTTAAAAAAAAATAATTAGATATTTCCACAGAAATGTTAATTTGCTTTGATTTTTTGATTATGCAAATTTTCAGCGGCATTCAACCGCAATAGAAAATCTCTTTTAATGACATTTTGTTTAATTTGGCATAATTATCTCGCTGCTGTTATTGTTGTTGTTGCACAGCAAAATTCACCGCTCTAATTAAAAATGGCAGCAGGTAGCCAAATGCAAAATTCAATTTAATTTAAATATTTTAGTAAATTGAACTGAAAGCTGGGCCCGAATATGGGCGGATATTTTGACGCTCCATTGACGCATTTTAATTGGCCCCGTTTTCTTGTTGTTGCCATTTAATTGGCCAATTGATATGGAACATTTCGCAACTATACAATTAGCCTGGCCAAAATGCCGTGTCAGTTAGTTTTCAACAAAAGAAATGGATCACAGAAATTGATAATAAATTAAATTATGAAATTATAAAATTGCTATTAAGCTTACTAAACGTGTACATAATAATAAAATATGTTTAAATCTGGCCATTTATTTATGTATTTATAAGCCTGCACGACTTACCAACTATTTGCTAAATGAATAACATGCTTTCCTTTTGGCCATGCTTTTCGCTTCAGCTTTTTGTTCGCTCGCAGCGTGCAAAATTTATAAATAAATTTGGATAAAATACTGGCAACTTTTTTTGTTTGTTTTATGTTTATGGGATTATGCACACAAACAATAGTGCATAATTGTCTTAATTTAATGTGAATAGCTTGTAATTGGTGTGGTTTTATCAGCAGGAGAAAGGATTCTTCGGTCAGCCGAATCTTGAATGCCCTTGCAGTTATACTATGTCACATATATATATTATTCGATATGTTTCTGAGCATAACCATACTTTTTTCATGCACTTTTGGTCATTTGAAATCTTCAATAATATGCAAAAGAAACTGTTTAAGATATGCAAATAGATTGAATAAGTTTTTGCTAGCATCAAAGCCTTGGCCAATTTTTTCTATGTCTGCTACGACTGTTAATCTGGTTACGATCAAGTATAACAATGCCACATAGAAACAGTTCAGAGAGGGGTAATTATATTCCGCAAGGGTATATATAAGACGTCAACGAGAACTTAAACAAGTAAACTAGATATAAATGCCAAACTTATTTCATATCTATGTTATTAGTCATATTTTTTGAACACATTAAATGAGAATGTAAACAATTAAAAAAAATTTTTTGGAAAATGTCTGCTTTAGAACAGCTCAAGAAAGTCACGACCATAGTCGCCGATACGGGTGACTTTGATGCCATTAATGTCTATAAGCCGACGGATGTGACGACAAATCCATCGTTAATCCTGAATGCCTCAACTATGGAGCACTATAAGCATCTCGTACAGAATGCAGTCGAATATGGCAAACGTAAGGAGGGTACTCTGGAGAATCGTGTGGAGGAGGCAATGGATTATTTGTGCGTATTATTTGGTTGTGAAATTTTAAAAATTGTGCCTGGTAGGGTGTCCACAGAAATAGATGCGCGTCTCTCATTTGATACGACACAGAGCGTGGAAAAAGCATTGAAATTGATTAAATTATATAAATCGCTTGGCATACGGAAAGAACGTATTCTCATCAAATTAGCCTCAACCTGGGAGGGCATTAGGGCGGCCGAAATTTTGGAAAAGGAGTATTTCGTACATTGTAATCTAACACTTCTCTTCTCCCTTGTTCAGGCTGTTGCCTGTGCGGAGGCTGGCGTAACATTAATCTCGCCGTTTGTGGGCCGAATTCTGGATTGGCATATCGCAAACACGGATACGAAAAGCTTTGAGCCCAATGATGATCCGGGCGTTATATCTGTGCGAAATATCTATAACTACTACAAGAAAAATGATTATAAGACCTCAATTATGGGAGCATCTTTTCGAAATACGGGCGAAATCAAAGCATTAGCTGGCTGCGATCTGCTAACGATTAGCCCAGCTCTGCTGAAAGAATTGGAGCATGATCGAGGCGAGGTGCCCGTCCAATTGTCTGTTTCGAATGCCAAACAGCAGAATATCAAGCAATTGTGCCTTTATGAGAATAAATTTAGATGGTTAATGAACGAAGATGCCATGGCCAGTGATAAACTAGCTGACGGCATTCGAAAATTTACATTGGATACCGTAAAACTAGAGAATTTAATTCGTTCTTTCTTTTAACCATTTAATCTGCAATACTTCTGTCAAAGAGCTCAATGTTCGCCACATTGTTGAAGCATCGACCTGTGTTTACAAATTTTCAATTCAAAATAATTTAGTTTAAAAATATACGCTTCTTTTTATGATATGACGAGCATAAATGAAATTTTTAGTTAAGAATAAAACTTGAACTTGGCCCTTTTATTAATTAATACATTTTATGAGACTTCTTAGTAAAATTTTCCTTAATTGTAATAGTAAATTAACTTAATTTTTTATAATAATAAGCAAAATATATCCAAAATTTTTGTTTTTTATAGCTATTTTACCTCATACAAAATATTCACAACTTTTGGATGATTTGCTTTTGTTTTGTTTCTCTTTTTTCCACAAATAAACCTTTAATTGCGCAAAGCTCTTCGGCTCGGTAAATACATAAGCACACACATACATCTATAACTATTATTTATAACACATTGATATGATAATAATTTGTTTTAAAATATGATAAATTTATGGTACAACATATTTAGCTGTAATAAACACTCAGATATTTGTTGTTGAATATACATAAGGGGTTCCAACTGTCGAATTGTACTTCAATTTCCTATGCTTAGCTTAAACTTAGCCCTAAACATTCAACTTAAATACTCGCGCTTTTTCTCTATTTCTTTCTTTGACTCTTTTCTATCATGGTCTAAAGTAGTTGTTGCTTAAACACTATCGAATACCTATCCATCTATATACAACATTTAGTTCTAGCTTAGGCATAACTTTTCTTTTTCTAGCGTTCAGCTTAAAATCTCACATAGCTAAAATCATTTGGATTTGGCGCTGACGTCACTATTGAACCGCTTACCTCTTCCTCAACGGCCGTGGCATATCTATTGATAGTCGCATTCTTCTCCAAACTGAAATTATCCTCTGTGGTCTTGTTGTATGTGGGGTTTACAAAGTTCATCGTATTGCCCCGTTTCGGGTATTTCTTTAACACGCAGTAGGATAACTATGGAAGAGGTAGAAAAATAAAATTAAATTGATTACTTAGTTTGACAAGTGGCTTGTGGGGGTACAATCAAATATACTTACGCTTATAACAGCTGCTGCGGCTATGAGTGCTCCTATGACAATTAAGGCTATTTTGCCCGAATCCCCTTCCGTTGGCTGCGCCGTCTCCGCGACCTTGCCACCCGTATGTGTCGCATTTCCGGTGTTTACAGCATCTGTTGGGCCAGAAAAAAAACAAAGGGAAAGTGAGAAATGACGTGAAGTGAATTATTTTAAGTTATGATGAATACCAAAACCGAAACCGAAATCAAATATACACACAAATTAAGAACATATAAAAGTAAGGTTTATAAAGATTTTACAACCAGAAACCATCCCATTGTTTAATAAAAAAAAAAAAACAGGTTTTATAATCATGATTAACATCATGAATATAAAAAAACAATTAAGAGGTTCTATTCGGAGGGGATACCCTGAACCCTCTTATTCCAACACAAAATTCAGCTGGCGCTGCGCGCTCTTTTGCTTTAGTTGTAACAAAAATAAATTAAAAACGAGAAAGAAGGCTATCTTCGGCACACCGAAGATCTAATACCCTTGCAGACCCAACCTTTTCATAATGCTCATAGTGCGTGGCCCGTATCCAAGATGTACCGGGAAAATAGTAAATGCCGAATTTGGTCAAGATATCTTGATAGCCAAAAAAGGTTTTTAATCAAAAACCTGGTTTTCGAGCGGTCGTTCCTATGGCAGCTATATGATTTAGTGGTCCGATCTTAATAGGATTTTGCATACATATGAGGAGCATAGTTAAATTTATAAATGCCGAGTTTGGTCTAGATTTCTTGAAAAACAAAACGTTTTTCATACAAGAATCTACTTTTCGACCGATCCCTTCTTAACAGGATTTTGCATATATGAGGAGTACAGTAAAACTAATACATGCCGAGTTTGGTCAAGATATCTTGAAAAACAACATGTTTTTTCATACAACAACTTAATTTTCGGCCGATCGTTCCTATGACAGCTATATGATATAGTGGCCCGATCCAGGTGGTTTTCACATATGTGCTGCCTGCAACAGAAAAGGGACTTCTGCAAAGTTTCATTAAGATAGCTTTAAAACTAAAAGACTAGTTCGCATAGAAACAGAAGGACGGACAGACGGTCAGACAAACAGACGGATACTTTATCTGGTCGGAGATGTCTCATTCTATGCGTTACACATTTCATGACATAATTATAATACCCTCTGCAAGGGTATAAAAAAAAATAAGTTCCCTTGGCAGGGCTCGAACTCGCAACTAACCGCTCTATTTGCCGCCGTCTCTACTCAACAGCCACAAAAAGTTTCCTCGGTAGGGCTCGAACTCGCGACAGACAACACCACTTGCCACCGCCTCTACTCAACAGCTATACCAACAACTGAGTCTTTATGATAAAAAAACGAATTCAAATAGTAGCACAGAATACAATACAGTCGCAATTGTAATGCTGTTGATGAATACGAAGCAGACGTGTATGAATGTGTGTGTGTACATGCATACAGATATTCTTCGAATTTACTCTGGTGCGGCAAACACGTGTTTCTTAACCGATCGGTTCATGAAATTTTCTACAGTATATCTTATTGTACAATAGAATATTTGTGTATTCTCAAAAAGTCAACTGCATTTAAATTGTGGCTTAAATTTGATGTCAATACAAGTTCGGTTGAGGTAGTAGCGGAGAGGTGGCGATTGGTATAAAATGAAAGATACTTGATATGTATATACTATTCTAGAGTAAACATATCACTTTTGGTGGCTCTAGCACTTATTATTTACCCAACTTGCTCAAAAAACAGGATTTCGACATTGATATTTATCGATTGCTTGGAAACGGAGTAAGTTATCCATTATCGGAAGCAAATTCGATCTGCGCATGGAGTAGGAGAACCTACAGTTAAAATTTCAGCTAGCTCTTAAAGGTTCTAAGATCCTTGTGTTCATACATACGGACGGACAGACGTACAGACGGACAGGCAGACGGGCATGGGTTCAGGGTATAAAAATCGTTTGTTTTATAACAAAGAACACAAATATGTTTTTTGTTAAAGATTGGCATCTTTTAAAATAGGCATTGCAATAATTTTTCAAATAATATTAAAATATATTTAATTTGTGAAGTTAATATCTTTATAAACTTGGTTGATAAAGAAGTTCAAAGTCATATCTCGGCTAGGCTTCATGATGGAGTTTAAAGGGAACTTGTTCTCAACATTGATTGACGAGGATTATAGGATTATAATTAACGATCATAATGTATTATATATTGAGCTACTTAATAAATCACTGGTTTATTTTGTAGAATTATTCATTTTAATATACCTTAAATAATGGAATATTTTATAAATTTTCCAAAATAATTAAGCTGTATTTCAGCGGGCACGTCTCCTCTTTTGATTGTTTTTCTGTTTTTTTTTGTTTTTGTTGTTCCGCGTGTCCAGCCCGAACATAATTAAAATATCTTCTTATTTTTAGATATGTATGCCAAAAAACAAAAAAGTCGACGACATCCCGTGGCGAATGTTTCCGTTGTGTCCCTATTTCAGCCCGCTGCCCGCCCCCTCATTTAGTTGTCAACTTTTTGTGTCACGCTTTTCGCTTTTCTAAGGTTGTTGTTGTCTGTGCGGCAGGAAGTTGTAGGATTTTTCCGCTGTCAACATAATTCGTTTTCATATTTTCCGTTTAGAATTTGTTCAAAAGTTAAGCACGCAGCAGGCAGGACGCACGACGCAGGGCACAGAAAGCGTTAGCCTGGCAAAGGATGTGCCGCATTTAACAGCATTGCACGAACTGTCGCCTCTTCTACATCTGCCACTTATTGTTCGCGTTTTTGTTGTTCTTATTAATTTTTTGGTCTATAGCCTGTCATAATTTCCATGAACTGACAACTGGCCCGCCCGGTGCTGCGGATCAGCATGAGAATATGACGCATATGGCAACGCCAGCAGCAGGAATTATCATTAAAAGTTGGCATTGGCAACAGCTGCACAGCATCGATTGTTAACGGCAAAGGGGCGGTTGGGTGTGGGCGAGAGAGAGAGAGAAACAGTTTATTTTGAGGCATTTTTGCAATTTATTTGCGGCATTAACAGACAGTCAAGTGGCAAAAGAAAAGCAGTTGAAAAGCTCTACGCATATTTGCCACATTAATTGCACGTTGTGTGGAAGTGTGTGTGGGTGTGTGCGCGGGTGTGTGTGTGTGTGGGTCTGCTAAAATATAAGCTGCTTTCAAATGGTTTGAGGGGGCAAGCATCATTTTCTATAATTTAAATACTCTTTCAAAGGTGAGCTAAAAAGCTTACACAGCTGAAGGCTGTCTGTAGTCGGTTAAGAAAAGATGTTCCGAAAAGGGTTTCCGCTTAAAATAAGCCACATTTGTTTTTTTAGCGACGTGTCTAAGCTTTTGTCAAAATAATTCTGTTATACCTAAAAACAACGAAAAGCTCAAGAATTGAGGGTTATTTTTAGCAAGAGAAATTAAGGCGAATTTATTTTGGATGAAATCTAGACAAAGAGATATAATTTAAAATTTTTATCTATAATCCATTTTTATTTCATAAAATTTTTATTTGAAATTTGTAAACTTTTGTAATTGTGAATATTTTTAATAACACTATTAACGAGATAGAAAGGCTATCTTCGGCACGCCGAAGATCTAATACCCTTGCAGACCCAACCTTTTCATAATGTGTATAGTGCTTTGTCCGTATCTAAGAAGCACAGGGAAAATAGTTAATGCCGAGCTTGGGAAAGATGTCATGATAAACAAAATGTTCGTTCCTATGGCAGCTATATGATATAGTGGTCCGATCTTAATAGGATTTTGTATATGTATGAGGAGCATAGTAAAACTAATAAATGCCGAGTTTGGTCAAGATGCCTTTAAAAACAAAATGGTTTTTCATACAAAAACTTAATTTTCGACCGATCGTTCCTATGGCAGCTATATGATTTAGTGGTCCGATCTTAATAGGAATTTGCATACATATGAGGAGCATAGTTAAACTTATAAATGCCCAAGCTCGGACAGACATCTTGTCCAAAGTCTTTAAAAACACATGTGTTTTTATACAAAACCTTAATTTTCGACCGATCGTTCCTATGGTAGCTATTTGATATAGTGGTCCGATCTTAATAGGATTTTGCATATATATGAGGAGTAAAGTAAAACTAATAAATGCCAAGTTTGGTCAAGATATCTTGAAAAATAAAATGTTTTTTCATACAAAAACTTCATTTTCGACCGATCGTTCCTATGGCAGCTATATGATATAGTCGTCCGATCCAACTGGTTTTCACATATGGGCTGCGTGCAATTTCATTAAGATAGCTTTAAAACTGAGAGACTAGTTCGCCTAGAAACACATGGTTTTTTTCTGTTCAGTGGTCGTGGAAGAACATGTGCGAAAAAAAAAACGAAGTCTTTTTGCTCGGACCTAGTGTCTGGTGCATAGAAACCTAAATGCAGGTGTTCTCTTTTGCCGTTATTGATTCTGTCGGAAATAAACCGTTTTTTTGCAGACAACCAGAAAGCGAGGACCGAAATTTGCGAACTCTGAAAAAAACACTATTAATTTAAATTTAAATTTGGATAATTGTCCTAAAATGGTAAACCATACAAATATTTTTCGGAGTAAGTGAGAAGAAAGAGATTGAAGATAATTTTGGAAAGCTTAAGTTTCGTTAAATTAAAGAAAATATTCTCCTTGACTCCTCCTGGGAATACATATTCTGGGAACACCTTGTAGCTGCTGCTGTTAGGCAAATTCCTTCTTTGTTTGCTATACTTTATGTACTACCATAAATGTCATATATTATTTCTGCCACCCTAATCTATAGCAAATGAAAATTGCGTGCTTCGCAGCACAAAACAAAGTAATGCTCCCCCAATTTTTTGGCGCTTCCACTTTTTATAATCCTGCACACATGTGCTTTACTTGCTTTTTTTTTTTTTTTTTTTTTTAACACATGAGACGCGGGCACAGACGTTGCCTGCCACCAGGTGTGTGTGTGTGTGTGCGTATTTGTGATTGTGTTTGTGTGTTGGAGGGTCTCACTAACGTCATAAAAATTCGCGACCCTCGCAGCGCGCTGAATAAATGAAATAAAAACGCATAAAATGTGTGGCCAACTTCTAATTTTACTTTATGCTTCAGAGTAAGATCAGATTAGATAAACTTAGCTACGTTTGTTTGAATGTATATACATATATATATATATATATATATATATAGATAGAAAAATGTTGTGGCAACGCTGGGCATTTAGACAATGGCAAATGGTCAACTGACCAATTACAGCCAGCTGAAACAGCAAACACACCGCCAGCCACACCCTCCCAACCACCCCCCGCTCTATGCGCTCTGCTGCCCCCCATCCTCACTTTATATGTTGGCTATTAAAGGCGCAGTCGTTACTTTCGACGGCGGCCAAGTTTATGGCGGTTCGGCGGCTCTGTCTATCTGTCATGCAGTCTGAACGTATTTGCAGAACTTTGCCTGCGCTTAATTAAGCAATTTGAAGTGCGTCGGCTGGTTGGTGGAGGATAGGCTGGGCGGGGGCGGGTCGGTTTCGTTGTGGCGATAGAAAAAGTAGCACAAACCGCTAATTGAAATTGCAGTTATGGCCGTATGCTTGTTGCCTTGGCTTGGTCATCTAATTGAAATAGCCCTTAACTAGTTTATAGTTATTTACTTGAACCACGCCCCCCCTCCCCACTTGCCTGCTGACAGCCTCCCTATTCGCCCACGCTTCTCGGACTGTTGCAAAACTTTTGCCAAAGCACTCAGCACTTGCTGCTCGTCCGGCAGGACTCGCTTTAGTCCTTAACTGCTCTTGTAATTTTCTTGGAATTGTATTGCACTCGCTTCGGACCAGGCAATGTAACGGTATTTGCTTGAGCCGCTTAACGTTTGCCTCTTCTTCTACAGTTTCTCAGTTTTTTTCTCATTTCTTTTACTTTTAAAACTGACGTAATTAGGCGCATTTTGTATGGTCACCCACTGCTAAGCCCCGGACAAGCAGCTGATTTGGGTAGGCATAGAAACCATCAGTTCTTGTCGACGAAGGGACAATACTGGCCATGTTTATACATCAATTGTAGCCCAAGTGGAATTGAAAAGGGGGACAACAGCACAAAATTTTAAATTAAAAGAGATGTTGAAGTTGCCAACAGAAATAATTAAAGTGCTATTTAAATTTAACCCGATTGTTGGCCATGTGCAGGCAATTAAGTTTCAATGGCAAAGATTTATTTTTCAAGCAGAGTAATTCAAAGTTCAAAGTGACTTTTTAAAAATATCTTCAATTTGTTTAATTTATAATGTCGTGATTAACGTGAACCTGAAGCGACAAATTAAGCAGCTAGATATATAATTTTATATAAAATAAAATAGTTCATAGTCTCGAGCTGTTTGTCATGTTGCCGTCAAATTCAACATACTTATTTTCAAATTATGTAACTACACATGAACTATTTACAAGGCACTTGATTTTTATGCTAAATACTAGTGGAATAAGGGTTACCACCTCCATATGTACCATAGGTAAAAAAGCTAGCAACGCACTTAAATCAACTCTTAAATAGCAGAAAAATACCAAATGATTGCATCAAATAAGGTTTGTCAGATGACCATGTATATGCCAATGCAAAAATAGCTTTTACTGGGCACTTCAACATTAATATACGCTTAGTGTTGCCACTTAACAATATGTACTTCATTATAAAATACAAATGTACTTCATTATAAAATACCAATTACCGCTGCCATCTGGCCATGCGTATGGCAAAGTTAACATTACTCTGTTTGAAAAGGGCATATAAACATTAATAGAAAATAGCAGAGTTGCCACTTGACTATATAGAGAACATATAATAAAAATAAGGGTTGCCATCTGACCAAGCATATGGCTGTGTAAACGTACCAAATAGCCTGTCATCAGCACTCAAGCATTAATAGTCACTTAGGGCTGCCACCCGACAACCTGTCTCATTAAAATATTAAATTAGGGCTGTCACCTAACAATATATATTAAAGAGGACAACTGCAGGCAGAAAGCTGGCAATAAGCAGCTTAATTTAACTTTTACAATTGCTCAAATCAATTTGACAGCTCTATGTGGCGTTGCCATATGTGCATACAAATTTTAATATTTCGTTGACATATGACTCAAAATGAAGTACGTGCAATGGAGGTTGTTGCTAAGGTGAGGCTAGATGAAGAGCAAAATGCTTGAGCTGATGACGAATTTAATAATATAACAAAATGTTTTCACTTCACTTGTGTACGTATGTATGTATATGGCGTATCTATTGGAAGCTCGAACAAATTGCGACTTGAGGACAATTTGATTTTGTATTATTAAAAGCTTGCTGACTACCATAAAACGCTCTACATTTTATTTGCATACAACAGGAGTACACATTTGTACGTGTCTATGTGCTTTTTTCATTTCCCGGAAATGTTGTTTATTCACAACATTTTTGGCTTTTATGTTTTGTGCTGACAACTGCTTTTATTTGGGCAAATAGCTCAAAGCATGCTCTTTGTTATTTGCACAATGACAACGGCAAATGCTTTCTAATTGTCTTGATTAACTGCTATCGTGGCAATCAAATAAAATTGAACCATAGATAAATCTATGTTAGCAATATTTGGCATGTTTGTGTTGCACATTTTTGGCGGACCCTGTGCTTATTTATGAGCTCTTCATATCCTGCTTTCCCGCTTATTCCCACGCCTGACAATAATTCGCAGCTGTAGGTGCTGACAGTGCCAATTTTCGAGCTGATGAATGCGTGCGGCTGATGCGGATGATGAATTTCTGGTTAAACTATTTGCTACACAAATTCCGATGTTCCTGCACCCGTCGCTTGGCTGGCTTTCAGCTATTGCTGCTGCTGCTGTTGACCATGTCGTTTTGTGTACAATTTAATTTCGTGGCGATTTGTTGAGCGACGACAACGACAACGCTTGCCGCTTGTCAGCGACAAGTCATCCAGCCAGTCAGACAGCTGCCGTTGCCGTTGCCGCTGCCTATGTCAGTCGTTCATCATCTGCACTCACATCCACATTCGCATTCGCATTCACATCCGCATTGTCATTGCTTTTGACAGAGTTGCCGCACAAATTGCATACAGAAAAGCGTGGGTGTAAGTGTCATAGGGTTGTCGCTTACGCTTAAACTGCTTTTGAGCTGAATGGGGATAGCTCGGTGAGGGGCGGGCATGGGGATTAAAAGGGGAAAGCTGGTTGTGGGGGCAGGCTGGTAACCATTGTTGCCATTAAACATGTCACTAGCGCTTCCTTTTTGGTGGTTTGACCCCTCACTTTGCCGCTATATTTATGTATGTTTTACGTGGAAACACACAACATGGTTGTGCTGTGTGTGACTCTGGCATGTGTGCATGTGTGTGAGTGAGTGTGTCGGTGTGCATTTTGAGTGATTATGTCGATATCATTGATGTTGATTTATGATGATGACATGTGAGCGTTGGCGTCGTTGAATGCATGTGTAAGAAATTGGCGTGACAAATGGCATACAAAATGAAAAGAGAGAGAGTGAGACACTCTAAGAGAAAATGAGAGCGAGAAAGTATTTACATATGTGTACGTGTGGACACGCATTTTGTTGTCTGCGAATAATTTGTGGATATCACAATATGACATTAAGTTATGAGTTGGTATAAAAAACACAGAGCACATATATAAATAACGATGGACGGGATTAAGAGTAAGTAAAGCTAAAATAATGGACTATAATTAGGTTAATCTATAGGGTAGCTATTGAGCTAATAGAGTTAAAATGATGGATTATAATTAATACATAAGGATGGATGGCCTATAATTAATATTCTGAAATAGCACAAAAAAAACCAACACCTGATGCTCAATGTGCGTATCAGAACAAAATTAACTATAAATCTTCAATTAAAATGTTTTTTAATATAAAAAAAAAATTAAAAATATTAAAAAAAAATGAGAATAATAAAGGCAACTTGTTTTTATAAAAAATTAATAATAAATAAATAATAAAGGGAGAGGAGAGGAGAGGAGGGGAGGGGAGAGGAGCGGAGAGAAGAGAAGAGGAGAAATTTCAGACTTTTAATATTGTAATATTGATTTTTTCTGATTAACGCACACAGACAAAAAAGACATATTTATACTAAAGTCCGCCACCTCAACAAGTAAACGAAATCGAAAAATATAACTCATACCCGACGCTAAAATGGGCGCATCTTGAGGAAGATTCGCGAGTGTTGGCGACGACGTCGAGAATTTGACCCGCGTTGTAGTTGAATTTACTCGCATCGTGGGTTTCACGGGGCGTATGAGTACTATGGAGCCAAGAGAAGGGTAGGGCAAAATTCAATTGAAATAAAATGAAATTAAAATAAAATGGGTAATGAAATTAATTTAAAATAACAATAGAGCAGATGTTAAGGGCCTTAATAAGGCTCAGCTGCAGTCTCGTGTGGCTGCAGCCACCACAACAAGGACACGTCGGCATCCAACCGCGAATGCAGCGAGCCGTGCCGGCAATTACGGTTGCTCTTGTTACATTCATGGAATGCATTTTCCAAAGTACATATTAAGCCCCAAAACCCAGAAAATAAATCTGGTAAATGGCAAAGCTACTTACGATCTTCGACGCACATCAGACCATCGGGCATCAGCTTGAGGCCCGTGGGGCAGGCGCAGGATATGCGCGGACTGCGTTCATTGATGCGCGGAGCCGGCAGGCAGAGATGTGAGCAGTGGCCATTAACCGCTTGGCAGTGATTAATGCCATCGGGCTGGCGATAAGGATGATACACATGGATGACCATGGGATGTTGGAGCTGTGAATGAATAGAAGAGCGTCAAAATAGAAGGAAGGAATATCCAGGATAATATAAAACTTACCATATGCACAGCCGTGATGGGTTCTACACCCTCCCCAGTAAATTTGTTGGCCTTGAAGACCGTCTGCTTGTCCCAGTCGGTCCAGTAGATGTAATCCTCAAAGGTGCTTATGGAGAACGGATGCCGCAGATACTCCGTCGAGTAAAGGATCTGTCTGCGCTGTGAGCCATCGTAGTTGGCCGAGGAGATGACATTCAGCTTGCCATCCACCCAGTAGATGCGCTTCCTCACCAAATCCAAGGTTATTCCATTGGGCCACTTCACATCGTAGTTGATGATAGTCGTGCGATGGGAACCATCCATGCCGGCGCGTTCAATGCGCGGCGAGGCGCCCCAGTCGGACCAGTACATCCAGCCCTCGATGGGATCGAGCGCTATGGAGCGCGGTATATCGAGCGCATCCTCGATCAAAACCTTGCCCATGTTGCCATCGAAGTTGGTCAGCTCGATGGTGCACTTGTGCGTGTCCGTGTAGTAGACGTGGTTGTAGATCCAGTCGACAGCCAGGCCATCCGAGGTAACCGATGAGTGCTTCAGGACGACGGTCTTCTCGTTGCCCTCATCGATCGGCGCCTTGTAGATGCTCTGCGTGGTCACATCGCTCCAAAAGATCATGCCCGTGCGAAACACAAAATCCAAAGCTGTCGCCGACTTGGTATTGTTCACAATTGATGTGATTTCCATGTGGTCTAGCGAAATCTTGCGTATGTCTTGGCGACGCGCCAACAGGAGAGAGGCATGTCCCTCCGCCGCCTTGCAGCGCGTGTGATTGCGCGAATCCCGCATGTAGCCCGCCTCGCATTCGCACTTAAAGCTGCCGACTTCATTGACACAGATCTGGGAGCAGACACCCGGCTCTTCGCACTCATCTATGTCCACACAATGGTGGCCATCGCTGGCCAGCTTGTAGCCCTCGTGGCATTCACAGCTGTAGCCCACCGGGTGATCCACGCAACGATGCATGCAGCCACCATTTTTGGTGTCGCACTCATTAATGCCACACTTGCCCGCCGGCTCATCCTCGCCGTCGGGGCAATCCTTGCGCTTGTCACATACCTTATCCAGGGGAATGCATTGACCGCCACCACATTCAAATTGGCTGGTGGCATTGCAGCTCTTGATTTGAGCTGACAAATGACAGTCGCGTTCATCACTGCCGTCCGCACAATCCGCCTGCCCATTGCAGGTGAGATGGCCGACAATGCAGCTGCGATCGCCGCACTGGAACTGATCCGGGCGGCAGGTGACATTCTTGCAGTTGGAGACAAGCTCATCATCGCCATCAGGGCAATCGCGGTCTCCATCGCAGAGCCAGCTTTGGTGCAGGCAGGTGATGCGATCCCTGCACTGAAACTCATGCGGCAGGCAGGGCGTTACAGTCTGTCCTACGATGCCGCAGTCCTGTGGCAGTGTGAGAGCAAGAGATAGAGAGAAAGAGAGATAGAGTGAAGGTATAGTCAATAAAATTGCCTGTCTGTGGTGCGTAGTTGATTTAAAATGCATTTTGCATAGCGCCTGTCAAAGGAAAGTTTACTTGAAATATGCCATAAAATAGCAACTACTACACAGTCAGCCCTGCCACACACACATATGTATATGCATATATCATTTGCATAAAAACACTCCCTTGCCTCGGCGCCATTGCCTGCATATCTGTAGTTACATACTTTTTGGGGCTGTTCTCCACATTTTTCACATAGTGTTTTTATGTTTTCTTTATATATATTTAAAAAAATTTTTTTGGCAAGCTATTTTAAACATTGGCTTCCCCCTTGACTGACAACAAAAAAATCAGCGCGTGGCACACGTAAATGTTTATGGCATCAGTTGTCAGCGTCAAATGTTGACGGCGACGTCACCAGTGTTGAGTAATGCGCGAGTATTGCATTATTTATGTTTCCTAGTGAGAACATGAATATATATATTTATATACTTATGTATTGTGCGAGGGCTGTTTTGCAAGTCTGATAAAGTTCATGTATGCATCCTTCACAAAGGTTTTGTGGACTCAAGATTTGTTTTTGTGTATTTCTCTTAAACTATTATTTTTGGATATTCGCTATATTAGTAGTCAAATTATATTAGCAAATAGTCTGACAGGTCTATGGAATCAAAGCATTTTAATAAATTTAATTTTATTGGACAGAAGGTGAATTTTAAATGGCGAATATTTTGATAAATATATCGAAATTTCAGTTTAGAAATGAATTATTCTTATGAAAACAAGTAGGAGGTTCTAGTCGGGAGCTCCCGACTAGGGGATACCCTGAACCCTCTTCTCCGAGATCAAATACATATATATATATTCTATTTAGCTATATGTCAAGTTTGGTGACTCTAGCTCTTATTATTTACCAAAATTTCCCAAAGAACAGGATATCGATATCGATTTTGATCGATTGCTTGGAAACGGAGTAAGTTATCGATTATCGGAAACAAACTCGATCTGCGCGGGCACTAGGAGCACCTACATCTTATTTTTCAAGTCTCTAGCTCTTATAGGTTCTGAGATCCTTGCGTTCATACATACGGACGGACGGACGGACCGACAGACAGACGGGCATGGCTAGATCGACTTGGCTATTGGTGCTGACCAAGAATATATATACTTTATGGGGTCGGAGATGCTTCCTTCTGCCTGTTACATACATTTGGATTTTGCACAAATACAATATACCCTTATACCCATTTTTAATGGGTTCAGGGTATAAAAATAATAATAACAGTCAAATAAAAACACATATATTTTGAAAAGAAAATTAAGACTTACAAAAACTAAAACGTAACATATAAAAGAAATAATTTCAATATTTGATATTAAAAAAAAAAAGTATTCAAAGTTTTGTTAAAATTTCTTTAAATTATATATTTTGTACTCGTTTTCGAGCAAAACTTTTTTTCTGCAAAATTTCCATTTATTTTCGTCTTGCAAAAAAACCAACTATTTTTACTATTTAGCTTATTTATTATACTTATTATATTGTGATTTACCTATATATAAATTACGTTACGATTACCGAAGTTGTGAGGCAACCCTCGCACATGTGCTTGGTTTATGCCAGCAGTTTGCTTTTAACTAGTATGATAGACTGAGAAAACTTACGCGCTCATCGCCGCCATCCGGGCAATCCGGTTCGCCATCGCAGACCCAACTCTTGCTTATGCAGGCATCATTGCTGCAGGTGAACGTTCTGTTCGGGGGGCATACAACTTTGGGGCAATTGAGCTCATCGCTGCCATCGCCGCAGTCGTCATCGTGATCGCAGACCCAACGCTTCTGAATGCAACGGCTATTGCGGCAGGTGAACTCATCGGAGCGACAGGTGGTATCTGGGATACAATTAGTATATGTACATGTTAGACAGTGTGTATGTGTGTGTATGAATGGGGGAATGAAAGCTGGGAGGATTTAGCTGGACTGCGCTTATGACAATGAGTGCTAATGTTAGCATGAGCTCTTTGGTTAGCTAAAGTAGAGAGTTAGGTAAACAACAAGCTGAAAACAAGCCAAAGCCAACAACAAAAATAACAACTTAAGCTGAAATATGCGGGACATAACTCAACAAAACCAACACCATTATAAAAATTGCTAAAGCAACGCGCTAAGGGATAAAAACCAAAAAGATTTGTTGCCAACAACTACAAAAAAAAAACAACAAAATGTCTTACAAAGGCATTGCAAACTAAAGTGTGCAGATGCCTGTGTGTGTGTAAATATTTGTGCTTTATTGCATGTGTATTGTTTAGGTAAGTATTACACAATTCTTGTAGGAAAGTGTAGCATACTTATGGCCAGCAAGCTGAAGTATATACACACACAACTAAGCACACTACAACAACTAGAGTTTTTAGTCACAGCTTACAAACAGTTACAGTTTAAGATTAGAAATTTTCGAAATATGGCTTACTGCACGTGGCCTCATCGCTGCCATCGCTGCAATCTTTGTTCTGATCACACATCCAGGCAAGTGGTATACACTCGCCGTCGCCGCTCTTGCAGGCGAACTCATCTGGTGAGCAGGATTTGCTCTCTGCAATATACAAATAGATGACGGAGAAAAATATGGTGTTAGTGTTTAAATATGACAATATGCTTATGCGTTCACTCGATCAGATGTAGTGATTTTATTTGGTAAAGTTTTTAGCCCAGAAAAATTTATAAAATGTAGAATGTATATCATTTTTTTTTTTTTGTTGACAGAACTAAAAATGAATATGGATAATAAATAAATATTTTTCAGTTAGAATTGAAAAAAAAAATATTTGAATATGTTTTATCTTAAGGAAAAACAGTTATGTGGGGGATGCCTACCTGCCAAAAATTTAAAATTTACATTATATATATATATCAAGTTGGCTGGCACAGCGAAACAAAAAGAATATGAAACCCCATTCAAATTTGCCCACACTCAGTTACGAGCAGCAAAATGGCTGTAAAAATTTCCTAAAGATAAGCTCTGTAAGAATTTCGACTCACCCCAAAATGGGTGAGTAAAAATCAAGTGCCTGATAAACTGCGCTACAGCTCTTGTTTATATGCACATGTATATGTCGAGTGGCTTCTTACTGTCTGCCTAATGGCGTTGCTGAGCTAAATC